TGCTGATCAGCGCTGCCTGGGAACGATGCAACGTGGTAGAAGTCTACTGCGTAGCCACGGGGACAATCCCCGCCTATCGCCACTACGAGTTCTTTTGAGCGGCGTTTTTCCGCACCCTCTCCTCCTTCTATCGTGACTACCTCGCTTCCCTCCCTCGCAGCGGCGATCACTTCCCCCACTTCCACGGAATCATCCGATATGAGGAGCTTCCGGTGACGATGGAAGGGATGAATCGCTTCCTACCCCCACTTCCTCCCCGTCGTCCCCGGGAAATCCCCTCCATGTACCGCCTCTATTGGCCRATTCCAACTAGGAGGTAGATCCCGTGACTATCTCTTCTTGCCCCCCCTCTCCCCTCTTCATCCAATCGGCAGGGGAAAAAGGCACGAATCAGTAAGCTTCGCGAAGATCCCGCCATCGATGATGACGTCAACTCACGTTCTGATTCGACGAGCAGCGATAAACTGGGGTGCAGAGCACGCGGAGAACTGGCGGACGATGATGGCGTCACCTGGATGACCATTGAGTAATCTAGCAGTACGAACCAACGGAAGATTGCAATTCAAGTTGGCATCAACATGGACTCTGGCTTGTCATTTGTTGATACGCTTGGTTCCTCATGCATCACTCTGTTCTCTCCCTCTCTCTCTCCTTCTCCGCCATGACATGCAATTAGGAGATCGCATAATTTTGGAACTTCCTGCGCACCACATATGTGACGAACCACTTCCCGAACCCATGCTATCCTTCGTACCCTTTTTTGCTTGTATTAGACCAACCCCATAAAAACCCCGTTTCGTTTCTTTTGATTTTGGGTACCGTGTTTTTGGCTCCCATTTTTCGGACGCTTTTCCGACTCTCGGGTTCTTCTTTTCCTTTCTGCAATTCGGGAAATACATTAGAAATTACGTGCGCCTTAGCGAGCGCACTGGGAATTGGGCTCGACAGTTGGGAATTCCGGGATAAGCGGAACGTCGACGTGTCCTTTTCGTGTGTGTGAATGTTCTTGGTGGCGTCGTGGGAAAACTCTCGGAATTTTGTGCGAATACGAATAGGCGTAGGATTTTTTTTTTCCGTGTCGCACTTTCGCGCACGGATATGGTGATTTCAATTTTGAATTAGGATAGAAGCAAGCTGTAACTGTTTCGGTGCCTTTTTCTCTCTTTTTGTTGACGGCGCCGCACATGCACAAGCTCTTTCCCCTCTGCCCTCCCGCATCGCTCCCTCCCTCGCTCCCTTCCCCTTCTCCCTCCTCTTTCTCTCTCCCCGTAACTATTTTCTTTCTCTCTCTCTTCTCCCACTCTGCTCTTTGCGCGTCCATTTCCCTTTCTTGATCATCTGAATCTTGGACCCGTCTTGTGCTACTTCTCGCGCCTTTCCTCTTCTCACCCTCTGAGTCCAACGCACAACGCCCGGTCGATCCGTCGATAACTCCCGTTCGCCAATCAGGTGCGTGGATCAATAGGATCTTCCTATTGCGCAACGAATCTGATTGGTTGAACCTTGAGTTCCGAGGGATTAACATGGCGTTCACAGAGAACTCTTATCAAAGTCTTCTCCTCCTACTTCTTCTCTTACACCTCAGCTTTCCCGTCGCTTTCTCCCCCTTCTCTCTCCCTTGTCGCAGCTATAAAACCCGCAAGCGCGCCCGCAAATCTCTCTTACGTTCTCGACTCTCAAGCCAGCTTCCAGGAAGCAGTGGCTAGGCAGAGTGTTTGGTGCGAGTTAGAAAGTCCTGTCGGGCTGACGATAGGCTGGCCAGTTGCGCTCTGGATCACCACGACGGACTGTGGGATCTGGGCGAACTGTGTCGAGTTTACGACAGCGGGGTGACGATCGCAGTGGTGGGAGTTAGCACGTGGCGGCCGGGACCGTCGGTGCGGGTATGAGGATCGATGATTGGAGTTGAGTGAGTGATTGGCCCGGGCCATACTGGAACCAATGGCGAATGCGCCTTTGTTGTTGCGGATTTTTATCTCTGGCGGGAGTGTACGGCGGCTACGCC